CGAACATTAAACCCCACGAAAATAAGTGATTTCACGGTATTTTTCCATGCTAAGAACGGTTAGATAAATGGCAATTAATGCTTGGAGTTATTGCATTTTTCATAATGGGGGCTAGCTATATAGATATTAAAACACTCTTTCGTCACATAGTTTCTCTGGATCAGAAGCATTTTTTTCTTCTTTCAAATATTAAAATCAAGGTTTCTGACGAAACTTTGGAGATTGAAGACGCAACAGGAAAACGACTTTCTGCTGAGATGGTATGGACATCAACCTTACAGTACTTTAGAACGACTGTGATGAAATCCTTTCATTCAGCTTCACTTCTCGAAGAAGATGTGCAATGGGTTTTAACGATACCAGCAATGTCAACTGAGAAGAGCATTATATTCATCAAATCATGTGCTGAAAAGGTTAGTTAAATTAATTGAAAAAAACAAACAATTGACCACTTGTTTGTAGAATGTTTCAAAGTAAAAGATTTATGGTGTTGGATTGGAGAATGGGTTTTGGAAAAATTTGAGATGCAATGAAGTTTTGATAAAATAGCAATACTTTTTGGTAAATACGAGAACAGGAATATATGTAAATTACAAAACTTGATAATACTTACTGTAAAGCAATTTATTTTTGCTAGTAAATATAAAAGTATTCCAAAATTAGATATCGATATCCTAATAAAGAGGATTATAGACAGAATTTTGATAGAAAAGGTTTTGTTATTACAAAGTTGTAAATATATGGAATATGAAAGGCACTGGAAAAAAATCTGTGACGTACTTTGAAAAAAATCATTGATTTTTATGATGAAATGTAATTTTATGCTAATTTTAAGGATTTACATTAGTTTATTATAAATATTTGAATGCATTTTTCTACTGCTGACCACCCCCCCCCCTCCCTTTTTTTTTCTTTTAAATGAAATAACTTTCACGGTTACAAGGAAACTCTGTACTGCTGTAAACGAACGTATATATATATATATATATATATATATATATATATATATATATATATATATATATATATATATATATATATATATATATATATATTGAAAGTAGTCCAAAGTCGATATCACACAGGTGAAAATATTTATAAAAGAAAAAGAAAATGCAGTTTCCAAATTTCATTTAGCACATGCGCTTTCTGGATTTCATAATCCGACTTCAGGTGTACATATTTGAACTGATTGTTTTGCTTGGTAACGTTAACTATGACGTCATAACGTCATGAGAGTCTTTGCAGGGAAGGAAGTAATCTATGACGTCATAGTAAGAATACGTTACGTAAAAGTTAGGGAAAATTAAATAGGATAATAATGGACAATAAATCATGCTTAGCTCAGTCTCAAAAAACAAAGTAAAAGCAATTGTGATTGTGGGTATACAAAAAGGATAATTTCTTAATGTTAATGTTTCTTCAATTTTGGTGAAAAAAGGTTAATGAAATAGTTTTCTTTAGCTAGTCTCATTGCAGTAGAATCGGTCCTAAGTTTATAAAAGGGGAACACACAGTAGTTTCCTTTGGAGCAAATATCAAAATGTTCACTGCATGGCGTATTTCTAAGGCTGGGGTTATTAATTTGTTGACGATGTACGCGCATGCGGGCGGTTAATTGGGTCCCGGTTTGGCCGATGTATTCCTCTCAAAAAATAGTTTGCATTGTGTACTTGTGAAAGCCAATAAAATAAATTAACTGAAAAAAACGAATATATTTTATCTGATGGAGATATTTGCGATTATAAAGTGTTAATAAGTAGTTAATAATGAAGACCTTAGATCACTTATTTTAAAAGGTCCTAATATACGGATGCCTGATCCTTCAACTGGCGTCGGAATTTCATATATATCATGAATTTTGCTGTAAAGTACGCCTGGAGTTTCGCCTGGTATGAAAAAGAATGCGTTGACACTTTGTCAGAATGTTTTAAATGTATCAGATTTATGTTAAAATCGCGTATTAGTTTGAGAGGCAAAATGAAAACCATTTGTCCTTCTGTATTCAATAATCCAGAAGTGAATAAAAATTACATAGATTACATGATGAGAACGTGCTGGTTCCTGCTTACAAAGCAGGCAACAATAGTGCCTTTGTTTGTAAGGCTCATTATATGAATTGTATTTAGAAGAACTTGGTTTTAATTCTCAAGTGGCAATCCTACTTATACACGTGTTTCCTTTCTAAAGAAGAAACTCATCAAAATCATGTCAGTTTTGATTTTTTTAAATTCCGAGACTTCATAAGAATCCTTACAAAGATCCAGTAAATGTTCAACCTAGCCTCTTTCTTTACTCCTTACTAAGCTATTAACAGTAGTGAAGGAGAAAATTCAAGAGTACTGTGGAACAATATATTCAAAAAGTAGTGTAAATCATATATGGATGCTTAAAAATTCCAGTGAACTTTGAAATCACAAGATTTTACAAAAATCAACAGCTTAAAACTTACGAATTTTCAACTTTGTACAAAGCCTTTTCCCACGATAAATCAAAGTCCGTCCTTTTCTATATGATTGACAGCTGCTTTTTCAGTAAAAATGAAAACTCGAAAATTTACTTACCTTGGCATCGGTCATTTCCAAATTAATTTGTTAAAAAGCATTCTGATTGTACACAAACGTACTCTGAAGTCAACATCTAAAAGATCATTGGGCTTTTGATTGACAATATCTGTGTTGTTTTTAGTCATCCTTCTATATTCTATGGTCGATGCAATGAACTTGTCAGAGAATACGATTTATCCTGGAGTCAATTAAATGAAGGATATGGAGATAACGAACAGTATTCAATATCAAAGTCCATATAACAATACAAAACAGGAGCAGAGCAAACACGGACCTCCGAAACATCAGAGGCTGGATCAAGTGCCATGGAGGAGTGAGCATCCCCTGCTGACTAGTCACACCCACCGTGTGCTCCTCGTCATGATCGGAACGTAACGGAAAAATCCGTCATCAATTCAATTTATGAATAATGGACTTACAGTTAGTATGAAAAACTTCAGTCAGCAATTGACTAAATGATAAATTGTATTTACTTACAAATGCTGAGTAACTTTTTTCATACTAATCGTACGACTATTAGATATGCTCTGAATTGACGACGAATTTTCCATTACTTCCCGATTTAGACCGGAGCGGCGGCTGCAACTGGTCGGCAGGAGATCACTCACTCACTCAATCCTCTCTGCGCCATCAGGTGCTTGAGGCGGCTACAAGGTATTTCCACCTGGCTCGATCTTCAGCTGCTCATGGTGCTGTCTCCATGGAGATACCTCTGGTCTTTAGGTCTTTCAGGACAGTTCTTCTCCATGTCTCCTTTGGCCGCCCCCTGCTTCTTTTTCCCTGGGGTGTCCATCTAAGGGCAACCCTGGGTAGTGAGTTGGGAGGCATGCGCAGGACATGACCAAGCAATTGCCAGCGTCTTATTTGGATGGTCTTTGATATTGAAGACATCCCAGTCCTTTCCAGTAAATCTTCACTGGTAATGGTGTTGGGCAAGAAGATCTTAAGGATGCGTCTGAGGGACTTGGTTTGGAAGACTTCTAGTTTTCTTTCAATCGCCAGGGATGTTTTCCAGCACTCTGATCCATACAAGAGGACACTGAGGACATTGCTGTTGAAGATCCTGGGGCCCGTTTTAGAAAAGAACTTACGACTTAAGACCAAGTATAATTATTCATATAACTTTTTAATTAACATTATATCGAAAATTATTTTAAACATTTTAAAAAGAATGTGGGAAGATATTTTTACACAGACAATTTAAAAAAGAATTATTAATTTTGCAAACTTTTACAATAATCTTAAGTTTTTGGTCTTAGTCGTAAGTTCTTTTGTAAAACAGGCCACTGATCTTGGTGTTGATGTTGAGTGATGAGGATCTCCATATGGGTTTCAACATTCCAAAAGCTTGATTTGCCTTGATAATCCTGGTGTCGACTTCCTTGTCGCAGTCGCCCGTTGTGGTGACCTTGCTACCCACGTATGTGATCAGTACTGGATTATTGTTAATAGTATTTACTCGTAAAACATGTGTCTTTTTGGTATTCACCTTCAATCCTATTTTGTTAGATGTTTCACTGAGGAGCTCTGTCTTCTGCTGAATATCTCGGTGTCTGTTCGAAAGGAGGCCGAGGTCATCAGCATAATCAAGGTCCTCTAGGATTGAAGTCAGCGTCCATTGCAATCCCTGTCTTTTGCTTTGTATGGTGATCTTCATGACCCAGTTAGTTGCAAGTGAGAATAGCACAGGTGACAGAATGCATCCTTGTTTCACTCCGGTGTTCACTGCGAAGGGCTCCGCGAGTTGGCTGTTATGTATCACTCGGCACTCAAAGTTGTTGTAGAGGGACTAGATAATGTTTACCAGTTTCTGTGGGATGCCGTAGTGGCGCAGGATCTTCCACAGAGATTCACTGTGTAGACTGTCAAAGGCCTTCTCAAAATCAACAAATACAGCATAGAGTGTACTATTCCACTCACACGACTGTTCCAATATCTGTCGTAGGACAAAAATGTGGTCAATACAGGACTTTCCTTTTCTGAAACCGGCCTGCTCCTGTCGAAGTATGTTAACTACAGCAGCTGTGATGCGTTGTAGTATGATGTGGCTAAAGACCTTGCTGGTGTGAGAGAGAAGTGTAATCCCGCGCCAGTTGTTACAATCTCCAAGGTCACCTTTCTTGGGCATCTTGATTATTACACCTTTCTTCCAGTCATCTGGGATATCTTCTGTGTCCCATATATCTTGGATGATATGCTACAGTATGTAAGGTGTTTCTCTTTCTTCTGATTTCAACATTTCCGGGAATACACCATCTTCTCCTGGGGCTTTTCCAGTTTTTAGTTTATGGATTGCTTGTTTTACCTCATTTAGTGTAATGCAGCCAGTTTCTATATCAAGATCTGTCTCTGCCTCATCTATGTCAGGACTATCGGTGGATCCGGTCGGTTCAGAATCTTCTCAAAGTGTTCTCTCCATCTCTCTAGTTTTGCCTATTCCTCTGTTAATGCTGAACCATCCTCTGCTTGTACAGGAAGGTCTTGGTTGGGGCCGTGATCACCTCTTAGTTTCTTTGTGATCTTGTAGACGGTTTTCATGTCTTTTCTCTCAGCGGCCTCCTGTGCTTCCTTAGCCAGTTGTTCTGTGTAGTGGCGCCTATCTCTCCTTGCTGACGTCTTCACTTCCTTATCTTTCTTTTTATACAAGGCCGCTGCCCTTTCTTTCAATCTGGGTGACTTTGCATCTAAGAGGTTCTTCATTAGTTGTTTTCTCTCTTCAATGATAGTCCACGTATCTTTGGATAGCCATTCTGATTTGGCACCTCTCTTGTAGCCTATGACTTCTACAGCGGCATCATTTATGGCTTGGGGGAATTGGTCGATAGTGATAGCTGTCTCGTCCTGCAGTTTACTGTAACGATTCCTGAGCGTGATGTTAAACTCTTCTCCAACACCTGGGTCCTTGAGCTTGCTGACATCGAATCGCTTGCTTTTGCTGGAACCGATTTTGGCTTTTCTCAGCTTAAGACAAATCTTGGCTATAACAAGATTGTGGTCACTACCGATGTCGGCATGGCGCACAGCTCGCACGTCCTGCAGAGAGTGCCTCCATTTACTGTTAATCACAATGTGATCAATCTGACTTTTGGTGTGTCTATCTGGTGATGTCCAGGTCATCTTGTGAATGGTTTTATGGGCGAAGAGACTACCACCTATGACAAAGTCATTTTCCTCACATATGCTGATGAGCCTTTCGCCGTTGTCTGTAATGTCGCCCACTGCATGTTGACCCATCACTCTTCTCCTGTTGTGGTTAACGTGTCCAACTCTTGCATTGAAATCCCCCATTAGAAGTGTGACATCATTTCTTGGAATGTCATCGAGTACTGCTTGTAGAGAGCTGTAAAAATTGTCTTTAGCTTCTTCTTCTGCATTGTCAGTTGGTGCATAAGCACTCACTATGGAGACCTTTGTGTATCTGGAGTTGAGTCTGACATATAGTAGACGTTCATTGCTAGGCTTCCATTGAATGACAGTATTGGCAAACTTTTGGCTGACAAGGAGAGCTACTCCTTCATGATGGTTATTATCACTTCGTCCAGACCATATAATGACTTCCCCTGAGTTCAATCTCTGTTTCCCTGTTCCTGTCCATCTGACTTCACCCATGGCCATCAAAGATAGGTTATACTGTTTCATTTCATTTACTGCTTGGGCAAGTCTTCCGACTTCGTATAATGTCCGGACATTCCAATATCCAACTCGGATGTGTTGTTTCGGTGTTAGGAGGTCTGCTATCGGGTCTTGTACCGTCATAATTCCAGTTGTATGGCCTGCTTCACTCCGTTCACCAGTTGAAATATGGTTCCTTGTAGTCGTTTCCGTAGCATATGTGGTTTTTATGAGGTGGGGTTGCTGGCCCTACGCTCAACCCTCCTCCTTTCTCATCCGGGCTTGGGACCGGCAATGGCGGAGTTGTTCGGCAGGGGATGCTCACTCCAAAATGGCACCTGATCCCACCTCTGGAGTTTTGGAGGCCTGTGTTTGCTCTGCTCCTATTTATCTTGTTGTATGGACTTTTGATCTTGAATGCTGTTCGTTATCTCCATATGTTTCATGAAAACAAAGATTCGAAAATCGGGCTTAGAACAATGCACAAAATCTGTTACCTTATTTACAAGTTAATATTCATAAAAATCATTCCTCTACCTGTCAGTAGTCTTATTAATATTACCTCTGTTTTAGTGTGTTTCTTTGTTTCTTTGTATGCTGTTTAACGTCCCTCTTGAGATTTTTTCACTCAAATTGAGACGCCACCACTTGGTGGTGGAGAGCTGCAAATTTTCTTTTGTCCTATGCTCGGCACTTAGGGACATTGAACAGGGAGGGATCCTTTTCGTGGCAGCAACGGCTCGGACAGAGGACCTCAGTTTATACGGTCTCGTCTGAAGGACCGGTCTCCACCTCCCTCAGTGGGATTCGAACCCGCTACGTAAGGACCAACTCCTTACTTCGTCACTCTAGAACAGACCTTTAACCACAACGCCACGCGGGCGATTGTTTTAATGTGTAATGTCAAACGAAACTTGCGATAAAAACAAATCTTATCCTTTTTCTTTTTTCGTTAAAAAGGCTGGATTCAACAAACGGAAAGTTTGGACCGTTTCTGATTATCAGGCGGCTTCAATGTTTGTAAAATACAATGCATTATGTAGTGCTGACACAAACTCTTTTGAGGTGGGATCAAAATACTTAGTGTGCGATGCAGGAGGTGAGTAGAAAAATTCCATTATAAATGCTTTTATTTAACTTTGATTGGTTTATAAGTGATAGCATAATATTTTATGAATAGAGATCAGGCATATTTACTGGCAAAAAAAAAACAACAAAATTAAAAATAAAATTCTTTTCTACTTTTTTACTAGGCTTGTTTGAAAGTTTATGCTGAATGCTATGATTTTCTTCCAAATGGCTACTCGGCTAAAGGTGTACAATGACATTTCGATAGAGAATACGAATTATAGATTTTTCAATGTTATCAGCATTATAACTGTATAGACGTTTTTATACTAATTGCCCGGCCAACATTTACACACTGAACTTTTTTCGCATTTTCCCAGAATTTTCCGGTGTTAAGGACAGATGGTACAAACCAACTTTTGTCAAAGAATTTGAAAATAGCAACTTGAGCCATGTTTAAACGAGTAAAATGAATAACTTTCACCGCATAGTTTTTAAAATTTTATTATTCAAATTTGCATAAGTAATGGAATTAGAAATGAAATATATTTGTATAGATAAATAAGAATGGTTTCTGAAGGGCAGACTTTTGAACACCACAGAAGGTTTACAATTTCTTTATATTCTAGAAATTTATTATTTGAATCATTTGCAATGAAATAAGACCAAAAAATATATACCAATCCAGGCATCCATTTTTTGTTTGTATCATCTGTCCTTAACAAGGATTGCCTGTCGGGTGTGACCGGTCCGGTCGGCAGGGGATGGTCACTCTTCCATGATAACTTATAATACCTCTGATGTTTAAGTGGTACGTAGTTGCTCTGCTCCTGATTTAATTTATTTGGATGGACTTTTGAGGTTGAATAATGTTCGTCAGCTTTATATATTTCCAAATAACAGTGATCTATGATTTCCTGAAGTCATCAAACTAAATCTTTCAAACACAAATCCCATTCACATCAAATAAAAATCAACGACCTTTGAATATTTAAGTTATTTGATTGAATAGTTATTTGTATTTTAGGCGTTTCCTTTATATAGACGACAATGGCCAAAATCAACGATAATGACTTATTTCTTAACATGTTACTTCGACTCATATGCCGACTCGTTTTATCACAGTGAGTTTGAAATAAAAGATACCACAGAATCTAATACATCTGCTGTATATTTTGATATTTTACTGGAAAAAACAACAACAAAGCTCATTGATAAAAGTATATGCTCGTATGATGTCTAAAAAATATTGAGAGAAGTGTTGATCAAACAAGATTATCAATATTCTCATTTTAAGCTGTTTTTGATACATTTATCAATGACCTTGTCAGCAAATACAATTGATCATTAAGTCAAATTCTGACAGCTGTCTATCATTCTTTTTGTAAAGTCATTATTTCCACGATTTTTTCCGTTAATTCCCGATCAAGTATAAGAATGAGCACACGGTGGATGTGACCTGTCAGCAGAGGATGCTCACTTCTCAAAAACAACTGATATTACCTCTGATGTGTTTTCTCTGCTACCGATTTGTATTGTTTAAATGTACATATGCTGTTTATTTCCCCGAACTGATTCGATAAACAAGAGCATATTTTGAGTACCTGATCAAAGTAAATAGCTCAAGTGAAATCACAAAATTTTACCAAAATCAACAGCTTCCCCATGATAAATCAATATCCAGGCTTTTAAATATCATTGACAGCTGCTTTTTCAATAAAATGGAACTCGTAGATTCACTTACTGAATGTCATTCGTCATTTGCCAAATTGTTTTGTTAAAAAACATTCAGATTGTACACACGAGTAATCTGAAGTTGATATAACAAAGTTAGAAAAGTTTGGTTTGTGATTGACAATATCTGTTTGGATTTAGGAGACCATGTCTTCAAACAGTCCATTCTCCCGTGGTACCAATTTTTCCAGGAAATAAGCAGGCCTATTTCTGTATTCATATGAAGCAGAATATGTACAAATTCATAAACACTTGTTGTGGCCTTCAACTCGATACATGTATTTAGATATGTCGACGATGTAATATCAATTAAAATGGTTATTTGAATCCATATGTCGCAAAGATATATCCCGGATGAGCTTGGAATAAAAGATATCACAGAGTCTGCTAATCTGTTTCATATTTATTTTTTTCCAGAAAAAGACGTTAATTGTAATGTAACAACCAAGGTTTATGATAGAGAATAGTATTTATTTTTTTTTTAAGTAGTATTTTTTACATAGTAGTATTCAAGCCAAACGTCCATTAAACAACAATAAATTGGGGTAGAAATTGGAGTAGTGCAAACAATTACCTCAAACAACTAGGTGGGATAAGGTGCCATTGAGGATTGGGCATCCTCTGCCGGCTGGACATATCTATCCGTCGTGTGTTCCTTGTCACTATCAGGAAAAAAACGAGAAAGTCCGTGGACAGTTCAGTTTGTAAATAATTGCTTAATTTTATTAGGGGTTTAATTAATAAATTTAATTAGATACAATGGTTTTGTTTAGTATACGTGTAATCTAACTTTTTTTTAAATTAAAAAATAGATTTGATATTGATATTGTTTGATATTGTTTGTTTTAGCTCTTCTGGTCTCTTAATGCGATAATAAGGACCCTGTCTATCTATTCGTCTGACTGTCTCTCTGTTCGTTAACAATCTTACAAAATGTTATTTCTCCTACAATTTTGACAGACAACACTAAGATGCATAATTCTGTGGAGCAGTTTGTGATTACGATGAATGATGTAACTAAAAATCGAAATATCTATGAAATACTTTCAATACACTACTTCTTCCATAGTTTTGTCTTGATTTCAGAATAACTTGACACAAAATCGAACTAAATAATGATACATATATTTTTTTTTTCAATGAACTTTTGTGACTTAAAAAGATATTTCTGTACATTTTTTCAAGGCTAGTTCTTACACATTTTTAGTTTGATTACAATCCTTCCATGAAAACAGACTAAATCAAAATGATAATTCAATTAATAAGTATAAACCAGTAGAGCTACAGTCTTGACTGACGTCTGGCTGGTGTGTGTTTTCAAATCCATGTTTTAATATGTTAAGGTGGATCGGTTGACTGTACTGTATTTCAAGTGAGAGAAGACGGGAACATTCTACAACTCATGACAGACACAAATGCAGAGTTAGCTGGATTTATGTTTGATCAACTCATATTCAAGTTTTTGGAACGGTTATCCGGTCACAGTACTGTAACTGCATTCGCAAATAATCACTCCGAGTCATTTCAAGAACTGTGCACAGATATGAAAAAGAAGTTGGTTTCAGAGCAATCTGGCGACCGAGTTGTTTTGAACTGTTCAGCATTTATTATAGATCTTCACAACAGATACAATCCGAATTTATCTTTAACGGAAGCAATTGAAAAAAACAGTTACACAAGAGGAAAGGTATTCCATCGATTAGACAAGTTATTCTTTGAAAAATCATTTCTCCGAGAACTCTTTGAGGAATCATCTTTCAAAATCATTGAATATCTTAAAAAGACTCTTTGCCATTCTAGTGCGAAAGACATAGCATCTATTATATGTGTTGGAGGAATGTTTAATAATATTATTTTGAGAGAAATGCTCAGCAAGACAATAGGAACGACAACGTCTGTGATATTTCTGGAAGACCCAGAACTTGTAGTGATGAAAGGTGCAGTCCTGTATGGTCATAATTCGAGCTTCACGGAAGTAAGAATCGCAATGTATACTATCGCCTGTGTGTGTATTTTCAACGAGGAGGATGATTATACACCTTTCGAATTGGAGAATTCTGGACAATTAGAGAAACTCGTTGAAATTGGAACACCTGTTGCAGTTGGGAAACCTCATTTAACAAAAACTTTTGAAAGCATGAAGAAATATAACAATGTGTCAGTGCTTTTCTATTCATCTACTGAAAAAGACCCCCAAACGGCTAGTGACAACGACTGTGTCCACATTGGTAAGGTAACAGTGAATAAACCAGCTAAACAAAGTTCAGTAATTTCGGATGCTCGTATGCAATTGACCTTTGCTGGACCAGCTATTGAAGTTGAATTGGAATGCAGTGGATTGA